ATATATATATATATATATACAATACACAAATTCATATTTATATGCATATAATAACAAATTTTTATATTATTTGTAGAACATTAAAAATAAATTTGAAAGGAATTTTTGACTTTTTTACTACAAATGTTTTATAATAATGTATAACACATATAAATTATGCTCATTTGTGTATGTTTACATATATATATATTAATTTATATCTACCTTAAAGCATTATGTATATATACAAATAATTTTTATACCATTTTTTTTTTAAATTTCCATCAGTAGTTTTTAAAAATATTACTTATTAATAATTAAATTTAGCTTATGTAATAAATATACTCGATCTTCCACTTTTAATATTTCATTTATTTTAACTATTTTTTTTTTTATTATAATTAAATTAATTAATTCTTAAAACGGTTTATTATATTTGGAATAATTAATATAATTAATTTTCTTATGATTTCTTTTAATAAATTAATTTTTTTTTGTTGTTTTGTCAATTATTTTATTTAACAGAAAAATACCTTCTATAATGATAAAAAGACATGAGTTGTAAATGAATTTATTTTCAATATACGAGAAATTAATAATTAAATTTTCAAATTTTTATGTTTTTTATTTACTTAATAATTTATTTTCCTGGTTTTTAATCATTTATTAATAAAATATAGTGTTGCCAAAGTGGGATATTTTATCACACAGTGGAATATTTTTGTCGCAAAATGCATTTTTTTTAAAGCGGAAAAATCATAGTTCACCCTGAGCATACCCAATTCAAAATATTGGTAACAGCTTCAATTGATATTTAAATAATATCAAAAAAATAAAAATGTTAAATGGGTTTAACGTATCGGAGAAACACTTTATTCAGAAAATAAATTTCCTGAAAAAGTTTAATGACCTTTTGAAAATACTTTAAATTTAATACTGTTTATTTAATACAACATTAAAAGTATGTATTGAATTTTATATAATGTGTTCACGTGGAAACTTATATGACATGTTAAGATAGAATAGCAACACTGATTGATATAGGAAATGAATGGAAACGAATTTGATAAGAAATAAATAATTATATTTAAAATTTATATGAATATTTTTTTTTTCTTGTATTTACTTTGATTTAATTTTTTTTATGTGTTTTTCTTTTAAAAATACGTGTTGTATTTTTAATTATCAAAGAGATGAATTTAAATAAAATCAAATTAATGATGCTTTTCATTTGAGTAATTGCAAATTGAGATTTTCATATGCAAATGGAAAATATTTTTGATTTTTATTTTTTTTTTACATAATATTTTTATTTGTTTATAATAAATTATTAGCTATATGCATCATAAAATAATATTGACCATTATAACCAATTATTTTTTTTTTAATTTTATAACCTTTTTTTTTTATTTTAATTTTTTTTTTTCATATTTTTTTTTCCTCTTTTAATATAAAATTGTATAAAATTCATATTAAATTTTGAAAGTTTATAAAACGTAAAAAATGTAGGTATTAATAAGCATTAAGCATTTTTGGGTTAAAACAAATTTAATTTATAAAAAAAATAATATTACAAATTGAAATTAAATTATCGTAAATACGTGGATTTTATTTATTTTTTTTATTTTTTTTTTTGCATATTTGTTACTTTATTTGAATAGTTGTACTAATTAGAAAGCTTTTATTTTAGTGCTCTTAGTAATAAGGTGCTATCAGCATAAGAATAAGAATTAAGTGTTATAATTTAAAACATTTAATTAAAGAATACAAGTTCAAAATTTTGAATTTTAAATAATTTCAAAATTAATCACATTAATTTGAAAATCAAATTGCAAGAAGCATGTACATTGTTATATAAGTTGCATTATTGTATACAGTAAGGTATTGTATTCTGGTACAGTGGGTAGAAACATTTTATAATTTTAAGTGTATAATACTTTAAAATAAATTGAAAAATTTAAAACGAGTACTAAAATAAGTATAACAATTATTATTTTATGTTCAAAAGTACATACATACATTGTAAAAGAAAATAGTAAATCAATTGCCATAAATTCAATAATATTATTATTATTATATAATTATATACTAAACCAACTATGTATAATATTTACAAAATATTGTTAAAATGTTAGGAAAAATTTTATATCTTTTTAAAGTGATGGCAAAAGGAAAGCAGGGGACATTCAAAATATTTCTATTATACTACATATTTTATGTTTTATTTATTATTTTTTTCCTATTTTAATTTTCACACTAATGCATTTCACTAATTTTTAATAACATTATTAATAAAATTTTGAAAAGTGAGATGAACATGATAATCAAATGTAATTGTTTTTATCTAATTGTTGTTGCATTTTTTTTTCTTTTTGTGTTTTTGTGTGTTTTAAATTTATATATTAATTATTTGAATTAAAAGTATTAAATTTTTCCTTTTAATCTTACATTTTCCTTTTTTTTTTTTTGTGTTTTTCTTTTAACATAATTATATTTTTTTAATTTTGATATTTATTTTAAAATCTATTACACATAAATATTTTTTTTTTGTCAAAGAATTTTTTTTTTTTTCAAATTTTTATTCATACTTTTTTTTTAATTTAATTTTTTATTTCGAATTTAATCCAATTTTTTTTTTTATATTTTAACAAATTTTGTAAAAATTTAATCAATTAATATTTGCTTTTTTTTTTTTTTTGCTATTCAAAATGAATTGTAATGCCTTTTTGTTTCTGTATAATATTGAATATGATCATACATTTTTCAATAAATAATGAAAAGTTCAATTACAATGTACATTAACGTATTTATATACTATAATAATGTAATCGTATGTACATAATAAATTTATATTTATTTATTTATGCGAAATTTTAATTATATAATTAATTCATAACTATAATATGAAAATTTATACTAATACATAATTATATAATTAAATTATATTTTCTGTTTTTTTATAATTCTATAAAATTTTACTATTATTTTACATGTATGTATATAATATAGAAGATGTTTTTGAATTACAGTACATACATATAATAATTATTATTTATTTTCCAATTCAAATATGTTCTTGTTTAATTAAACTCAAAAAAATATGAGTTATATTTTAACGTACACATATTTTATATTAAATATATTTTATTTAAATATATACACATTATATTCTTTTTGTAATATCAAGTTTACAAAACATAACAATTCATATATAATATTTTTTAATTAGATTTTATAATTCTAATTTCATTATTAAGTTTTTATTTTGCTATTAAATTTAATATTATCATAGTTTTCGCCTATTTCAAATAATTTTATACTATGTGTCATAATTTCATTGGAAAATGATTAAAATTTAAGTTATTTGGAAATAAATAAAATTTTTAAGATATTACAAAAAAAATTTAGATTTTAGATTCACAATTTTGAATCTGAAAGTAATAGAAATCAGATTTTACTTTCTTCCAAGATGAACTTAATTTGCTTGTTCAATTTGGGTATTATTAATTATGCAAAAATTACTAAAACTCTTATCATAGGAAAAAATATTTTTATTTCTTTATGCAAAAAAATTAATTAATAAATTTTTATATCAATAATTTTATTGCTATAAAATTAGAAGCAAATCAATAAAACTAGATTTTTTAAAATTTTATTAAAAAATTTTCAGAGGAATAAAATTGATATTCGAATATTATTCTTGAGATTATTAAATTAAGAAATTTGTTCAATAGAATATAAGTATAATTTTTAGAATTAATTAAAGTTCTTTTTAATCTTATCATGAGTTTTACTTTACAAAATAATTGTTTGTTTCAAAGCCTTAATTTGTTTTATAAATAATTATAATCGTTTTCGTTGTATTCGAATATCACATTTATAACATAGCGTTTTATTATATTAATCGAATAGCTTTAATGAAATTATAACACATTTACCACACACGACTTCAAGTTGTTTTAATTTTTTATTTAAACGAGCCAATTGTAATTTTTTAAATTTGATTATACATAGTTATTTAATAAAATACATTGTCTTATAAGTTTTGATATTATGAAACAAAATAAAATAGGCAAAATTTTTGACAAAAATTTAAAATTTCTTTAAAATATAAAGAAAAACATTGTGATTTCTGATAATTCTAGTAATAAAAATTTTTCTTTGAAATATTTGAAAAAAAAAATTATTTGAGTTGTGGCAGTTAAACCATTGAAGCTGGAATCATCTTTACTTTTTTAATTTTTACCTAAAATTATAAGAAAAAAATATTAACATTCTGATAAAAATACGATACAATAAACAATTACACAGCCTCTTAAATACATAAAATATTGAAATAATATTGAACAACAAGTTTTACTTTTATAAAGTTTATTTTAAAATAATATTGTAAAAATTTAACTGTAAATTAATTTTTACTCAAAGAAATTATTTAAGAATGTATGCAATTTTTTTTAATATTTATTATATATATATTTTTTCCCCGAATTTCAACTGTTCTTGCAAACCTTTCCTTTTTAAATTAGAAATCATAATTTTAAATTTTTATTAGTGCCTAATATATTTAATATAAAATAATTACGTAATATTGCATGACAAAATTTTAGAAATATTAGAAATTCACTCATATCTCATACATATATATATTTCGTTCCCTTCCCGATAATTGCATTTTATGTCATCAATTCTATCATTTCTCTGATTTGTATTTAACCATAGACTCCGTCTTATTAACTCATAAACTCTGTTTTAAATTAAATTAACAGTTAAATTTTTTTTTATTTATAAAAGTAATATATTGAACTCAATTATGTATTTAAATGTAGATTTTACAATTATTGACAAACAATCGTAAACTTTTTCATACTAAATTTTCAAAAAAAAAAAAAAATTTTAACTGACATTAAGATAATTAGAAAATAGAATACTTAAGGTCCTGTTGCTTTTTAATCTGGGGAGGAGAGCACACAACAAAAAAAAAATGGAACTAAAAAATTAAAAGGTAAATGAAAACAAAAACGTTTTGAAGTTGGCATGAGTGATTTTATTTAGCTTTTTAAAATTTTGTCATACAATAAATTGTTTTGTTTTTTTTTTTTCTTTCATTCTATAATTTTTTTTTATTTTTTTAAGAAATTATTTCCACAAAAATGAAAAATCATTTTGAATTTTTGTATTTATTTTTCTTTTTTTCCTTTTTTTTTTAATTATTTAATTAATTATATTTAATTATTTAACATTCAGTAATTTGAAACAAAAAAAATATTGTTTTTCTATCTTGCTTGTTTTTTTATTATTTTCTTTTTTCTCTTTTAATTTAATTGTTAAATTTAAACAAATAGTTTTGTTGTGTACCTAAAGTAAAAAAGAAACACAAAATTATGGAGTTTTATTTCATAAATCTATAACAGAATTTTTCCTTTTTTTTTTGTGTCTTTTCAAACAAATTATTTTTTTTTTTTTAGAAATATTAAGAAAAATTTTATTTTGTATTGCAAACTTAACAATACTCTGTAACAATAAAAATAAAATGTTGTTTTGCTCACTGACATACACCAAGTATTTGAAAGATTTTATGAAAAATCACAAAAAGAAAAAAAATTTGAATAATTTTATACAAATTTTTTTTTATTTTAAAATTTAATCAAAAATTTTCAAGAAGCAACATACAGGGAAATCAATATTATTTGTTTATGTTTTAATTTAATTTTAAAAAAAGTATTTGTTTTCCTTTTATTTTTTTTTTTAATCTACAATATTATATAAATTTCTAATTTGGAAAAACAAATTTACAGATTAATTATTTTCGGTGTAGTTTAAATTTTGGTTATAATTGGTTTTGTTTTTTGTTTTTTTTTCAAAACTCCATATTTTTATGTTCGAATTTATGTTTTAGATAAAAAATATTTTTTCATCTCTTTGTTGTAATTTAATTTAGTATTTTTTTTTGTTATTGGTTTTTTTTTTTATTACAGAAGAACACATACTTTTTTTTTTCTTAATAATGTCTTAAAATAAAACAATATCGTTTATTTATTCATTTCATTTAATAATTTTTAAATTGTCTATATATAATTTTCCTTAAAATTTCAATTATTATTTTTTAGTTTTCTTTTTTTTTTTTTTCTTTACTTTATTTAAATCAACAAAAATACTTACAGTATTATTTTTATCAATTTTTAACTATATAAAACTTTATTTTTCTTTTTATATTTAATTATTTATTAATAAGCCAAAACATTATTTTTTTTTTACCTTTTTTTATTTCATTAATAAAAAAAATATATTATTTCTTAATTCACTAAAAATAATAATAATAAAATGAATAATAACAACATTAAAAATAATAATAATAATAATGATAAGAATAGTAATAAATTGAAAATTAAATTATAATAATTATAACAGTAATAATGATAATGAATATGAAAATATTAATAACAAATAATAATTATAATAAGTATAATGGTAATTAATAATAAAATTAAATAAAAAAAAAAAAAAAATTCATAATAAGAAAAATGTAAATTAAAAATGCAAATTAAAATTTAATTAAATGAAATAATAAATCATTAAAAATATACACAAACATGTATATAAATAATGTTTTTTATTATATTTTATTGAAATAAAAAATTTTGAATCAACAATTTTTGAATCATTTTTTTATGTAAGTGAAAAAATACGAGAAAAAAATATTCTTCGTTTTGTATTTTTTTTTTCTTTTTTTTGCTTTCAATAATCAAACTTATAGAAAAAAAGCATCTTTTTAAATAATTCTGTGCAAATATTTTGCTGTTGCCAAGAATTAATTATATACATAATATGTTTTTTTTTTAGTTACGCTATTGAACAGTGGTTGTTTAAATAATTACTAGATTATTTAAAAATTTCCATAATATAATCCTAATGTATAAATTGTTTAGAAAACCTTTTTAAATTGAAAAATTTCAAAAAAAATCAATTATTTATTTTATTTGTTTTTCGATAATCCAATACCTGGTCACTATGCTGATTCAGCTTATTGACATTAGATATATCAAGATATTTGCTTTGCGACATTTTCTTTATTCTGTTAATATTTATAACACTTTTTTTTTACTATTATTAAAATAAAAATTTTCTATCTGAAAAGGCAGTTATAAGGTTTTCTTGTCAATATATTTTTTTAAAATATTTTACTTAATAAGAAATTTATGTTTTTTTTTTTTATTTGTTTTAAAAAAAACATTAAATTAATATTTTAATTTTTTTATAATTTGAAATTTATATATTTCTTTATATATATATATATATTTTTCTTTTTGTTTGTAAATGTTCTGAATATTAAAAATTAGATTAATGAGAAAGTTAATGTTGCGAAACTTATTTATTTATTTTATGAATTCCTTTAATAAACATTTTTAGCATTATTTGAAAAATAATATTTTCATATATATTTAATATTTTTTTTTATTTTTGTTGAAATTTTAATATGCAAATTGTTATCATTTGCCTAAAAATAAAATATTTTTTGTTTATTAATTTTATAATCCAATTATTTTTAATAAACTTTCGTGTAAGGGAAACCCACCCGACCATCGTAGGATGTGAACTTTTTTGCTTTTTTTTTTTTTCGAAATGATTTTCAACTTCTCGCCTTATGGTCTCGTTTTACCGCCTTCATAACAAGCACAGAATTATAATTCTTAACGCTAAAATATAACGGATGTAAAAATTAATGAAAACTTAAAAGAATCCAAAATTTATGATAAAAATGCAATTTAAAAATGGCAAAATATAAAAACAGAAAAATAAATAAAAATTTTTTTTCTTTTTTTTTTTATTTTTTCGTTTTTTTTTTTTTTTTCTTTTTATAATCTTACTTTTTATTTTTAAATTTTAAATTCTACAATACATATACAGCGGAGGGCGAAAGAAAAAAAAATTGTATATAATAAAATTTTTTTGTAATAATAACATTATAATTAATAATAAATTTATTAAAAAAAAAAAATGTTTTCGTTTAAAATATTAAAGATTAAATTTATCAGCTTTTGTTAAAAAAAAAAAATGGATAAACACAAAGAGAAGATAATTTTACAAATTAAATTTTATAAAAAAAATTATATATATACATTTTGTATATATAAAACATAATATTGTTTTTTTTTAATTTCTTTCAATTTGTATATTATATTTGTTCTTTTTTTTTCATTAAATAAAATTAAAAAACAAGGAGAAATCGTAAGAATCTAAATAAAAATCTTATACAATTGAAGAAAGTAGAAGGAAAATTTAAAAGAGAAACAAGAGAAATTTAAAACAAAACGACAAAGAACGGTGTACAAAAGCACAGTTATAATTTTTTTATCTCTTCTCTTCTAATTTTTTGTTTATTAAATTTATATTGATTTTATTTTATTTTTTTTTTTCTCTTAATATTCATTAAATTTTCTTTTAATTTAAATTTATTTCGAAAACATAAAAACAATTTTTTTTTAATATTTTTTTTTTAATTACTTTTTAAATTTTTTCATGTTTTTTTTTTCTTTTTTTACAAACTAAAAGAGGAAACAAAAATAATTATATTGTATTTGTTTAATTTAATTTAATTTCATCTATAAAAATATCTAACGAAAGAAGGAAATGTTTTTTTTTTTGTTTTTTTTTTTTCATTAATTTTAGTTGTTGTTGCTGTTAAAAATTTTATTTTTAATTCTGCTTTTGAGATGAGTGTTTTTAAATTTTTAATTAATTAATTAATTTTTTTTTATTTTACTGTCTGTCTTCTTTTCTGGGTTTTAATTAAATTATTTTTATTTTTTTTTTATTTTATTTAATTATTTTATTATTTAAATTTGTATTTAATGAAGAGTTCATATCTTAATTTTTTTGTTTTATTTAATTAATTATTGTTAATTCTTATATTTAAAACTTCTTTTTTTTTTGCACTCTTTAAGCTTGCATGTTCACACTTGTTACTATTTTTTTTTTGTATTTTTTTATTTTTCTTTATATATTATATTAAATTTTTTTATTTTTAAGTTTTCTCCTTTTTGTTGGTTTTTGCTTTTTTTTATATTATTTTTAATTTTCTTAAATTTTTGTTTCTTATTTTTAATTTTTTTTTTGTTTTTATTAAATAATAATAAAAATGTGTATTTTGTTGTTGTTGATTTTTTTATTAAATTAATAATATGTTTCTTGTTCCAGCCATCCGCCTGGGTTCCGACGAAGATAGAAACGACGAGTTTCATCATAAATGAAGATGGATAACATGAATGGAAGTGCCGGTAACCACCATACGAATCTATAAATAATAAAAAAAAAATCAAATTAGTTACTTATTTCAAAAAATTAAATATAAAAAAGGAAAAAAATATATTTATGTTTTTTTTTTATATGTTCGGAGCCGACTTGAATTGGAACTAAACAAATAATAACTAAATACAGAACTTTCTTTCGTTCTTTTTGCACACTATTATATACAAAAGAATGTTTGATTATTTTTTGAAATCATTATTTTTTAAAGCTTTTCAAATATCTCAGTTAGAGGAAAAATTACAAAATCAAATCAAATCCTGATTGATTTAGCGTTAATATATGAAAAGATAAGTCCGTTCTTTGAGTGTAGTTACTTTTATTAAACCGATATTGTAAATAATGATTTTATATCACTAATTAAGCTTTAGAAAAAGAAAAAAATATAGAAGCTTTTAGGAATTTGTTTAAAAAGAAAATTATTTTTCAAAAATAATAATAAGAAAGTTAAATGATTGTTGAAATTAAATGCAAAAGTCAACATAAGAAAGTTTGGATATTCCTTAACAAAAAAATTCCAACATATCACAAATAATGAAGTTTTTTTTTTTTTATCTATATACTCACTTGAGAGGGTACATACGAAGACCCTTGTCCATTCCTGGACAATATGATAGGAATGCTGCTAAACATGTTTCAAATACTAAGCCAAAATTAAGTGCCCAATTCCTCATACCTTGATGGAAGATTGAATTACGACGTGTTTTACAAATGATCAAATCAGCCCATTGTACAACGACAATTGACACAAAGAAAGCAGTATGGCAAGTATATTCAAGTGTTTTTCTGTCACGGTATGTCTAAAATTAATAATTAAAATTAATAATAAAATATATATAAAGAAAAAACAATATTTATTTCAATTTCAAAAATATCCCAATATTAGTAATTACCCATTCTTGACCATAAGAATCAGTTAAATCATTAACAGCTTTTGAATCCCATTGCTTTCTAATACCAAATAATTTTGTTGGTAAAAATCCATTTTCAGCCATAATAACAAAGTATACAAAGAATCCAGCAGCTGCTTGAATCATACCAATTTGACCATAGGCCATTGATATCAATCTGTTTTGTTGTTTTCAATTTCAAATTCATTTTAAATTTTTTTTGTTTTTTTTTGAATAAAGCAAATTGCAAGAGATGAAAAGATAAAATAATAATAATGAAAAAAAAAAAAGAAAAGAAAAATTATTAATAAAAATATGAAAACAAAATTTATTCATTATTTTATTTATTCAATAATAATTAAAAATCATTTTTTTTTTATTTCGAATATGTTTTACCAAAAAAAAAAAAATTTATATATGTACATAAATAGAAATTTTTTTAAAATATTAAAATGGCGACAGTTGTCATATTTTTAAAACTCGATTACTTTATTGCAATTAATTTATTTACAAGAATTACTTGTATGAACATATTAAATTAAAATTTATTATTTCTATTTAATATGAAAATTTTTACTTTCAAATGAAAATTATTAACAAAGAACAACTCAAATTAAAATCAAGTTCAAATTTTAATAACAGGAGGGTTCCTTGAAAAAGTTTTGTCAAAAATTTAATTTAATTTAATTCAATTAATATCAAAAACATATTCGAAATATTTTTTTTTTTAATAAAAACATAAAATTTATAAAGGTTAGTATAAAAAGGATCATTATTATTGGGTTATAATGTTATTTTACATTTAAAAAAAAATTAAATAAAAAAAAAACAAATATAAAAGAAAATTAAGGATTATTTTTTAATTAGAAAGAGAAAAAAAAAAACAAATAAGATATTTATAAGATTGAGTGATGCGAAGGTTTTTAAAAAAAAAAAAAATATGGAATTTTAATAAATTATCTTTTTTTTTTCGAATTTTTTGTGATTTTTTTTTATACAGTATAAGCAAAGCACTTGTTAAATTTTGTGTTTTTCTTTTATTGTTTGATTTTTTTTTTTTTTTTTAGTTAATTAATACAATGGTAAGTTAAATGAATTGCAATAGCAATAATTTATATAATATATACATTTAACACATATAGCAAAACATTCAAAAATTTACATTATTATGTTAGTTAGAATATTTCAACAATAATATTGTAATATTAGTTCGTAGCGTTCAAAGCTTAAAGCATTTATGTGACATTATCTTGCACCAATTTAATCACTTGATTTTGCACCAGTTTTTTTTTGCATATTTTTATTTTTATTACATTAAAATTATATGTACATAAATATATACAGTGTGTTATAATATTTATTATTATATGTAAAAAATAATTTTTTTTTAAAGCACTTTCATTTTATTGAAAAATTACATAGAGAAAAGCATAGCCATAATTTATACATAATATATTTACATTTTAATATATGTACATATATACAATTAAAATATAATATATTTACAAAAATTTACAGGAAACTAATAAACATATTAAAAAAAAAAAAACATAAATTATATAAAATACTAATTTATAAGTGCATTTATATATATATAATAATATTTATAAGCCTTGAATAATTGACATACACATAAAATGAAAGAAAAAATTATATTTTTTTAAATCGAAGCCCTAAATTTTTTATAATTTTGTACTTACGTTTCATTTCAATTTCAATAACCAATTACAAACAAACTAAGAAACTAAATAATACATAAAATGTACACATATTTACATATATATTTATATTATATATTTTCATATATAAAATAGGGAAACAACTTAAATATAAAAAAAAAAAACAAAATATTATACTTATATAAATTAAAATTATAGAGAATTAAATATTAAAGAACTAATAATTAAAAAAAAAAAAAAAAATTAGAAAAAAAAAATTTTGATTTTTGAACCAATTTAATTTCTTGGATTAAATATTGTGAATAAAATATCAAGTTATCTAAATTGCTTCAATAAAGTTTTAAATTAAAATTTATATTTGAAATTTGCTTTTCAAATATAAATACGATACGGAAAATGTATTTTGTTTTTAATATGTATATCATACCTTTTTAATTACAGAAACTATAAAATAATCATATCTTCGTGTCTCTAAAAAATTTATATTTCATTTAATGTTAAAAAAAAAATGTAACTTAAGAATGTCGAACTGTAATGTAATGTATTAATGTAAAAAATTTATGTAAAATTATTTGTGTGTTTTAATTTTAAATAATATGAAATTTCTAATTTTATTCCTATTTCAGATAATAAGAGCTCTTTTTATTAAATATTTTCGGTATATGAAATTAAAAATTTTCTATTTAAAAAAAAAAAAAAAAAAAAACAAATATTTAAATCATTTCTTTGTATATACATAATGTATATACAAATGCTATACATAATGCATGGTAAAAAAATAATTTTGAAACCTAAATAAGAATTTAATTAAATATAAAAAAATTAAATTCAATTTATTTAAAAAAATTTATATGAACACAAAGTATTCAACAATTAAAATCAGACTATTAAAATCAATTGATTTTAAACTAACAAATATAATATAATAATAAAGTTATTTAATAAAAATTAAAATTAAAATAAAAATGTAAAAGAAAGAAGAAACTGGACTCTATAATAAAATAAAAAAATTACAAGAAAACAAAACTAGTAGAAAGTAGTTAAATATTTCAAATTAATGCAATATAATAAAATAAATCACAATAATTATTCCCTCTTATTATGGGAAGTTATTAGCAAATATTAATGATATTTATTTTTGATATAATAAAAACGCGCTTAACAAAAATTGTATTATAGCATTTCATTTTATTTATTAATGTTTTTATTGCTAGTTTGGTAATTCATTTAAAATTTTAAACTCGTTAATTTTGAAAATATTTGTATAGTTTGTAATTCATTTTATTTTATTGCATTTTTACTACAAAATAAAAAATTCTTTTTTATTTAAAAAGAAAATTTTTGGTCAAGTACAAAACATTTTTACAAAATAAACGCATCTAATATAAAAACTACTTTAATATTACTTGTATGTTTTTCTATTTTCACTTATTAATTTATTTCTTTATTTACTTAAAAAAAAAAAACAAATCTTTTAATGTAGTGTAATAATAAAATTATAAAATATTATAAAAGGAAAATTAGTCCTACTCGTACATATTTAATCAATTTCAAAATAATAAAATATTCATTCAAAATTATGTTTTTTTTTTCTAATATTTGTATATTTAAATATTAATTTTTAATGTGTAAAGTGTATAATATGTTGTGTCTTTGTTGTAAATTGAATAAATTAGATATTCTAAATGCTAGTGTTTTTAAATATTTCATGGTTTATTCAAAATTCTATCTTTATATTTAAAGAAAAATTTTCTTAAATAATAACTTTAGTTTAAAAATTCAAATTAAAAAAAAATAATTTAATTTTATCTATATAAATAATTAAAACTAGCAGAAGATTTAATAGTAAAAAATATAAACAACTTGCATTTTTTTTTTATTAAAAACCAAATAAAATTTTGTTTTAAAATAACTAGATTTTTAATAAATAATATACAGTTTTTTAAAATAGATAAAAAGAATATATAATATATTTAATGTAGTAAAAAGAATCTCTTAAATTTATCTTCTTTTTAATAATTAAAAAAATTGTATGTATATAGATCAAATAATAAATGCCAATTTCTTTAATTTTGTATTTTTGTTTTTTTTTTTTTGTTCATTTCAACCATTAAATTCAATTATTAATTTCCTTTTATTTAAAATAATTATTATTAATAAGAAATCTTAATAATGTTTTCTTAATTGGATATTTTCTGAATTCTGCTAGCAGTTTAAAATTTTTATTAGACTGTATTTAATACTGAATACCTTAAAAAACTAATTTATTTTTATATTTTATTTTATTTGAAAAAAAAATTAATTTATTAAAATTAAAAAAAAAAAATTTGTTTTCTTTTTAAATAAAAATTAAAATGTTTGTTTTTTTTTTTTTTTAATTTACGGTCTCAATTAAATAGCAAAAGAAAATATGGATCTAAACCATATTCAATTAAATTGAATTTTAGTCAACGTTACAATTAGTTTAGAAGTGTTTTTAGGAAAATAAATTCAAAAAAATATATATATATAATTGTATAGCCACATGAAAATTATAAAAATTCATCATTTATTCAAGTATGTTAATGTTAGTTTTCAATGTATTCTTATTTTAATTAAAAATTTAATAAAAATAAAAAAAATATTTTTATAATCTTTTATTAAATAGCTATTCTTATATTTTAAATTTGTTCACTAATAATTTTGAACGTGACTTTATATTCAAAATAAATAAAATTATATTAAAAATAAATAAAAAAAATTGTGATTAACTCATAAATACTCGTACAAAAACAAATTTATTACGAAACATTTAATAACATTTACTGTTGTTTTTTTTTATTTGCTCATTTAATTTCCGTAATATCAAGAAAATTAAAATTTAAAATGTTTAAAAAAATAATATTTTGTATTGTTTAATTTACAATGAAATAAAAATTTGAAACAATTAAAAAATATTGAATATGTAGATTATAAGAAACAAAAACGATTGTTTTATATTTAATTACAAAAAAAAATCTTTTAATAATAAAATAAAAGACCAAAAATAAAAGCAAAAAAAAAAAAAAACAAAAAAAAATATTTTTTTAATTTATAAAATTTCTTAACTTTTCTTTTAAAACTAACTTTTAAAAATTTCAACAAAAATTAATTCAAAAAAAAACAAAACACTTTATATTTAATTTGTTTTTAAAAATATTTAAAATATCTATAACAAAAATTACGCTTTTCTATTTTTATTTTATAATCTAAAAATAGAAATTAATAAACGTGAAAAAAAAACATTACTTTAGCGGAATTTAAGTGAACTGGGATTTAGTTACTTAATTTTCGTTTTTTTTTTTTTGTTTTTCCAAAATTTTATATTTTATTCGATTTCCTAATTTTTTACACAGTTCACGAAAACTTTGTTTAATAATTCAGTTTTTAAAATAGTGTGACCTGAAAATGACTTCAAGTAACGGAACGGAACGGAACATTTTATATCTAAAAATAAATAATCAATTCATATTTCAATATT